AGATACCAAGACCAAACGAGGCATCATCATCGGGTTTTTCCTAAGAGCATACCGAATTTGTAGTCCTGAGTTTCTTGACGAGGAGTGTACATACATTCACCAAACATTCACAGAGTTACATTTTCCTTCTTTTTTCATCAAAGACTGCAAGAAAAGAGCTCTTCAGATCATAAATTCTCCACGCATCAACACCACTCCCAGCAAAGTTATAATTCTTCCCAACAGTCAGGTTGCACTGAACGTCTCAAAAGCACTTTCACAAGCTAACACCAGAGTCGCCATCGCTTCTAGCACTTCAATAAAGGATATAACCAGGACAAAATCCAAGCACCACGAACCAGTCAATGCAGGAGTTTACACTATACCCTGTGGAGGCTGTGACAAGATTTACGTAGGTGAAACAGCCAGAAACCTCGATACCCGCCTCAATGAACACTTTTACGCATGTAGGAACGATACCCTGAACAACACCTGTGTACAACACCGAAATTCCACCAATCATCTCATGAAATTCAGAGACGCCCAATTAGTGATCAAAGAAACTAATTTCCGCAGACGCAAGTGCCTCGAATCAGCACTGATCGCTGTTTCGAATACAATTAAACAAAACAACGGCAGCTTCACCATCTCCGAAGTCTTAGCAAGAATCCTCCTGAAAACAGTAAACCCTGCCATCACATAGTCTCTCCTGTTATACTACACAAAGCACAGAGAGTGAACACTGAAACAAGCTGCCTCATTCCAGTTTATATTTGTCCAACCTATTTTTATGTTACCCAAGAAATAGCTTTTATATCCTTTTACTCATGTACGAATTAATTGCTCTACCATATTGTATTACTTTTGTCACTACCACTACTACTACTACTACTACTACCACTAGTGAACATCGAAATGGTACCTCACTAGTATTCACCTCACTCTGAGCCTTTATATACCCTCTGTGTCCATGTATTGTTTGTAATGGCTTGATAAAGCTCCTGGAGAGCGAAACGTTGCCACAATAAATGTCACATTAGTTGCACTTGTGTCCTTTTACTTTACATATTGTCGGTAATTCTACCAACTTTATTACAAGACAGCAATGCCTAAGCGTACGTAATAAGGCAAATAGATTACTGGGATTTATATCAAGAAGTGTAAGCAACAGAAGTCCAGAGGTCATACTGCAGCAGAACACATGACCATAACACAAGGCACAGATCACTCTTTGATGTTCCTCGTGTCCATCTCTCACTATGCAAAAACTCAATGCACATAAAAGGCCCTAAAATCTGGAATTCATTACCTGTAAATATAAAAGAAACACTACCTGTTTATAAATTCAAGTCTCTTCTCAAAGATCACTTACTCACCCAAAACAAAATAAATACTGAATAACTGAACCTTATAAATTGTATATCTTAAATGTTTCTCACAATTATATCACATAAATGTTAAACCTAAAACCGAATCTAACTTTATTATTTTTTTTAAATACACTACCTAACAGAATCACTACCTAACTGAATCACTACCTAACTGAATCACTACCTAACTGAATGCAACCATATGACCTGTCTTTGTAATACTCACTTGTGCTTTATAGTAATCTGTTTACATTAATGTTTTATCACTGATTTCATCATTGCTTAGTTAATCTAAGTTAATTTTAAGCCAGCCCGTAATGCTATGCATAGTATAAGTGGCTTTGGCATGCTGCTCTTATCTGTATTTTTTTGTACCTCTGTATGTGTGCTCAAATTTGAAATAAATAAATAAATATATACATCATTAGTAAGGCCTCACCTAGATTATGCAGCTCAATTCTGGTCTCCATATTACAGAATGGACATAAATTCGTTAGAAAACATTCAGTGTAGGATGACTAAATTAATACATAGCATTAGAAATCTTCCTTATGAAGAAAGATTGAAGACTCTTAAGTTACATTCACTTGTTAGACGAAGAATGAGGGGAGACCTGATCGAAGTGTATAAGTGGAAGATAGGTATTAATAAAGGGGATATTAACAAGGTCTTGAGGATCTCTCTCCAAGAGAGAACCCGCAGTAATGGATTTAAATTAGATAAGTTTAGATTTAGAAAGGACATAGGAAAGTATTGGTTTGGAAATAGGGTAGTTGATGAGTGGAACAGTCTACCTAGTTGGGTTATTGAGGCTAGGACTTTGGGTAGTTTCAAATTTAGGTTGGATAAGTACATGAGTGGGAGGGGTTGGATTTGAGTGGGACTTGCACATCGGAGCTTGTTTCTTGGGTGGCATTGAAAATTGGGTTGGTCAAATGTTTTGTTAGTGGGATGAATTGTAAAGGACCTGCCTAGTATGGGCCAACAGGCCTGCTGCAGTGTTCCTCCTTTCTTATGTTCTTATGTTCTTATGCCTGTTGGCCCATACTAGGCAAGTCCTTTACAATTCATCCCACTAACAAAACGTTTGCCCAACCCAATTTTCAATGCTACCCAAGAAATAAGCTCTGATATGCAAGTCCCACTCAAATCCAACCCCTCTCACACATAAGAACATAAGATAACTCATAAGAGTAGACCGTTCCACTCATCAACTACCCCTATTACCAATGTTCATTTATACATTTTATTAGTGCCCTAGAGTCCTTATGGAGGGGATTCCCCTTCCAAATAACCTCTCTTCCCTCTCTCCTCCTCCCTGTCTTCCATTCATCAACAACAGCCTTCAATAAAGGTAACTGTCATGTTGAATGTTCATTATTTTGCGCATGTAAATCTATCTTTTAGGTAAAAAAAAAATTGTTGTTGATACTTCTGGGTGTCTGGAACGAATTAATTGGATTTACATTATTTCTTATGGGGAAAATCGATTCGAAAATCGTCCATTTCGATAATAGTCCCACTTCCAGGAACGGATTATGGACGATTATTGAGGGACCACTGTACTGTTATTTTTACAAAACCATATAAAATATTAACCTTCTTGGGGTCAGTCCCGTTGACGCCAGTAACAGTCCCATAGTTCTACTCCATGAGTTCAGCTCACTCAGATAAGTTGTGAGGAGTAAAAAAACTGTGACCGTGTTTTTTATTTAAAACTGCAACTTTGCAGGGGATTTTTCGTATGGTTTTAATGGTTGTATTCTCGATTACTTTTCCTCATTTGATAGAATGGAAGATATAATACAGAAATAGAGATAGATGATTTTGATTGGTTTCAAAACTGAAAGTAGCTTGAAATTGAGCTCAAAGTAGCAGAAATGTTCAGTTTTACCAATATTCAAGAGAACACAAATGACATCACTCTTCCAATATACGTCCAACTGGCCAGTCTATTATGCATTTAGGATTGCACCGACATTATTTACGTAATTATTACAATAATACAGTAGTCTGCATAACAGTAAATCTATTAGATTTTGTGTAAATAAAAATTGTAAATGGAAAGCAAATGCAATATAAAAGGGGCCTGGGGACGTAACTGATGAACAGAGGAAATGTTTTTTTTAGTACCAGGAATGCCTACATTGTTCAGTCTGAACCCTATTTTTAAATTGGTAAATTTTTAATTTTGTGTGAAATTAGCCAAATTACCAATTTCTGATCACTTTATTGGGTAGTTGTAATAGGTAAATGGGCAGTTTTTTGTACTCAGTCAATAAAATAGAAGGAATACTAGTGAAATAGCTATGAGTTTGGTCGACTGGAACAATGGAATTAGCCCAAAATAGGGCTCAAAGTGGGTGAAATCACTGATGCGTAAATATCGCCAAGACCGCTAACTTTGCAGGAGCGTAATTTTGTAAGTTTTCCATCAAATTTCATACTTTTGGTTCCATTATCTTCGATAAAAGATTCACTATCATTTCATGAGATAAAATAATTTTTTTTAAATTCTTCGACACTGAGAGTAAGTTTGAGATCAGGGGTCTTGACCTTGAAAGAGTTAAAGACTAGTCCCGTAGCCTCCGTCTTCCAACCAGATTGATGCATCCTAAGTTCTTGTATATAAAATTTGCTTGGCCACCCCTAATAGTGTCTGCACAGATACATTGAGGGAGAACCTACACTGTACAGTGGACCCCCGCTTTACGATCAGCTCCCAATGCGACCAATTATGTAAGTGTATTTATGTAAGTGCGTTTGTACGTGTATGTTTGGGGGTCTGAAATGGACTAATCTAATTCACAATATTCCTTACGGGAACAAATTCGTTCAGTACTGGCACCTGAACATACTTCTGGAATGAAATAATATCGTAAGCCGGGGGTCCACTGTATATTATAATTCAGGTGCTCCTTGATTTCCGATGAGTTACATTCCAATGAACCCATCATAAGTTGAAAATATCATGAGTCAGATATGAACATGATATGCTAAATTAATAAATAAATAAATAACTACTGTCACTGTATAAGTAATAAACAAATAATTACTGTCTAATCAAATATAGTGGTACCCCGAGTTTCGAACTTATTTCATTCCAGAAGGCTGTTCGAGTGCCAGTACCGAATGAATTTGTTCCCATAAGGAATAATGTCAGTTAGATTAATCCATTTCAGACCCCGAAAAATACACTTACAAACACACTTACACAAATACACTTACATAATTGGTCGAGTTGGGAGCAGTTCGAAACTCGGGGTACCATTGTACCAGTATTGAAAAGTAAATAAATGAATAACAAAAAAAGGCACAATACCGTGACTGGAACGATACACAAATAACCCGCACATAAAAGAGAGAAGCTTACGACGACGTTTCTGTCCAACTTGGACCATTTACAAAGTCACACTAACTAGAAGTGGAGCAGGACGGCTATATATAGGCAGGAAGAGGTGGTGGTGGTAGTAGTAGTAGTAGTACAAGAATGAATAGAAGTTACAGACTTACCACCTTCATGTTTGGTGATTGTCTTGAGTTTCATCTCCGAAGTAATTGCTTTTTCACCATTGTAATGTCAAAATATAAGTCAAACCATTGTAAGTCAAGGATCACCAATGTATTAATTTCTGGTTCATTTGCCAACAGTATGGCTCCTCCATTTGCCATCCCAGAAGACAAAGACAGTGGTGAGGACAAGGGACAAACAGGCTATGACGACGATATCTTTGATCTTGCATCTACTGCTGAACATGACACCTTCGGAGTTGATCCTGCTGTCCACTCTGTATCCGAAAATTCGGGCATTAAAAACAAGAGAAAAATAAATAAACAAGTGAACTCACAGTGTGATAAAAAAGGAGATATTAACTCCCTTAAAGAAACTGATAATTCTCTATTAAGTGACAAAAGTACGGAAGACAAAAGTGAAGAAACTGAGGATGGGAAAAGCTCCTGCAGTGAGACCAATACTGGCACTGGTAAAACTAAAATTCGTAAGTCAAAAAAGAAAAGAAAAAAGAAAACTGAACTAGAGGTGAGTCTATTACCAGAGACTACACTTTCTAGTCCTCTGAAAGACTGTACTGGTGCCAGTCCCACCAAAGTCAGTGAAAGCATTAATTACTCACCAAATATTCTGCCTACCATTTGGGTGGTAGACAGCAACCACCCAGGGAAGTACTACCGTCCTGCCAGATGACTGTGAAACAAAAACCTGTAACTGTTTTGCATGATGGTAGGATTGCTGGTTTCTTTTTCTGTCTCATAAACACGCTAAGATAACAGGGATATCTTGCTACTCCTACTTACACTTTGGTCACACTTCATAGACACGCACATGCATATATATATATACATACATCTAGGTTTTTCTCCTTTTTCTAAATAGCTCTTGTTCTTTTTTATTTCTTCTATTGTCCATGGGGAAGTGGAAAAGAATCTTTCCTCCGTAAGCCATGCGTGTCGTATGAGGCGACTAAAATGCCGGGAGCAATGGGCTAGTAACCCCTTCTCCTGTATACAATTACTAAAAAAGAGAAGAAGAAAAACTTTATAAAACTGGGTTGCTTAAATGTGCGTGGATGTAGTGCGGATGACAAGAAACAGATGATTGCTGATGTTATGAATGAAAAGAAGTTGGATGTCCTGGCCCTAAGCGAAACAAAGCTGAAGGGGGTAGGAGAGTTTCAGTGGGGGGAAATAAATGGGATTAAATCTGGAGTATCTGAGAGAGTTAGAGCAAAGGAAGGGGTAGCAGTAATGTTAAATGATCAGTTATGGAAGGAGAAAAGAGAATATGAATGTGTAAATTCAAGAATTATGTGGATTAAAGTAAAGGTTGGATGCGAGAAGTGGGTCATAATAAGCGTGTATGCACCTGGAGAAGAGAGGAATGCAGAGGAGAGAGAGAGATTTTGGGAGATGTTAAGTGAATGTATAGGAGCCTTTGAACCAAGTGAGAGAGTAATTGTGGTAGGGGACTTGAATGCTAAAGTAGGAGAAACTTTTAGAGAGGGTGTGGTAGGTAAGTTTGGGGTGCCAGGTGTAAATGATAATGGGAGCCCTTTGATTGAACTTTGTATAGAAAGGGGTTTAGTTATAGGTAATACATATTTTAAGAAAAAGAGGATAAATAAGTATACACGATATGATGTAGGGCGAAATGACAGTAGTTTGTTGGATTATGTATTGGTAGATAAAAGACTGTTGAGTAGACTTCAGGATGTACATGTTTATAGAGGGCCACAGATATATCAGATCACTTTCTAGTTGTAGCTACACTGAGAGTAAAAGGTAGATGGGATACAAGGAGAATAGAAGCATCAGGGAAGAGAGAGGTAAAGGTTTATAAACTAAAAGAGGAGGCAGTTAGGGTAAGATATAAACAGCTATTGGAGGATAGATGGCTAATGAGAGCATAGGCAATGGGTCGAAGAGGTATGGGGTAGGTTTAAAAATGTAGTGTTAGAGTGTTCAGCAGAAGTTTGTGGTTACAGGAAAGTGGGTGCAGGAGGGAAGAGGAGCGATTGGTGGAATGATGATGTAAAGAGAGTAGTAAGGGAGAAAAAGTTAGCATATGAGAAATTTTTACAAAGTAGAAGTGATGCAAGGAGGGAAGAGTATATGGAGAAAAAGAGAGAAGTTAAGAGAGTGGTGAAGCAATGTAAAAAGAGAGCAAATGAGAGAGTGGGTGGATGTTATCAACAAATTTGTTGAAAATAAGAAAAAGTTTTGGAGTGAGATTAACAAGTTAAGAAAGCCTAGAGAACAAATGGATTTGTCTGTTAAAAATAGGAGAGGAGAGTTATTAAATGGAGAGTTAGAGGTATTGGGAAGATGGAAGGAATATTTTGAGGAATTGTTAAATGTTGATGAAGATAGGGAAGCTGTGATTTCGTGTATAGGGCAAGGAGGAATAACATCTTGTAGGAGTGAGGAAGAGCCAGTTGTGAGTGTGGGGGAAGTTCGTGAGGCAGTAGGTAAAATGAAAGGGGTAAGGCAGCCGGGATTGATGGGATAAAGATAGAAATGTTAAAAGCAGGTGGGGATGTAGTTTTGGAGTGGTTGGTGCAATTATTTAATAAATGTATGGAAGAGGGTAAGGTACCTAGGGATTGGCAGAGAGCATGCATAGTTCCTTTGTATAAAGGCAAAGGGGATAAAAGAGAGTGCAAAAATTATAGGGGGATAAGTCTGTTGAGTGTACCTGGTAAAGTGTATGGTAGAGTTATAATTGAAAGAATTAAGAGTAAGACGGAGAATAGGATAGCAGATGAACAAGGAGGCTTTAGGAAAGGTAGGGGGTGTGTGGACCAGGTGTTTACAGTGAAACATATAAGTGAACAGTATTTAGATAAGGCTAAAGAGGTCTTTGTGGCATTTATGGATTTGGAAAAGGCGTATGACAGGGTGGATAGGGGGGCAATGTGCAGATGTTGCAAGTGTAGGGTGTAGGAGGTAGGTTACTGAAAGCAGTGAAGAGTTTTTACGAGGATAGTGAGGCTCAAGTTAGAGTATGTAGGAAAGAGGGAAATTTTTTCCCAGTAAAAGTAGGCCTTAGACAAGGATGTGTGATGTCACCGTGGTTGTTTAATATATTTATAGATGGGGTTGTAAGAGAAGTAAATGCGAGGGTCTTGGCAAGAGGCGTGGAGTTAAAAGATAAGAATCACACACAAAGTGGGAGTTGTCACAGCTGCTCTTTGCTGATGACACTGTGCTCTTGGGAGATTCTGAAGAGAAGTTGCAGAGATTGGTGGATGAATTTGGTAGGGTGTGCAAAAGAAGAAAATTAAAGGTGAATACAGGAAAGAGTAAGGGTTTTGAGGATAACAAAAAGATTAGGTGATGAAAGATTGAATATCAGATTGGAGGGAGAGAGTATGGAGGAGGTGAACGTAAATTTAGATATTTGGGAGTGGACGTGTCAGCGGATGGGTCTATGAAAGATGAGGTGAATCATAGAATTGATGAGGGAAAAAGAGTGAGTGGTGCACTTAGGAGTCTGTGGAGACAAAGAACTTTGTCCTTGAGGCAAAGAGGGGAATGTATGAGAGTATAGTTTTACCAACGCTCTTATATGGGTGTGAAGCGTGGGTGATGAATGTTGCAGCGAGGAGAAGGCTGGAGGCAGTGGAGATGTCATGTCTGAGGCAATGTGTGGTGTGAATATAATGCAGAGAATTCGTAGTTTGGAAGTTAGGAGGAGGTGCGGGATTACCAAAACTGTTGTCCAGAGGGCTGAGGAAGGGTTGTTGAGGTGGTTCGGACATGTAGAGAGAATGGAGCGAAACAGAATGACTTCAAGAGTGTATCAGTCTGTAGTGGAAGGAAGGCGGGGTAGGGGTCGGCCTAGGAAGGGTTGGAGGGAGGGGTAAAGGAGGTTTTGTGTGCGAGGGGCTTGGACTTCCAGCAGGCATGCGTGAGCGTGTTTGATAGGAGTGAATGGAGACAAATGGTTTTTAATACTTGACGTGCTGTTGGAGTGTGAGCAAAGTAACATTTATGAAGGGATTCAGGGAAACCGGCAGGCCGGACTTGAGTCCTGGAGATGGGAAGTACAGTGCCTGCACTCTGAAGGAGGGGTGTTAATGTTGCAGTTTAAAAACTGTAGTGTAAAGCACCCTTCTGGCAAGACAGTGATGGAGTGAATGATGGTGAAAGTTTTTCTTTTTCGGGCCACCCTGCCTTGGTGGGAATCGGCCGGTGTGATAATAAAAAAAAATAATAAAAAAATAACAGCTTCAGTGTCTGACAGTGGGAGCAGTGTACTGGATAATCTGCTCAGCATGCAAGATTCTTTTCTGAAGCCAACTCAGAAGATAACATCTCCCATTAAATCCAAGGATGAAGCCTCTGAAACAACCCCTAATCTGAAGCCTTGGTCGAATTCGCTAAATACGGACTGGAAGGCGCACTCAAAGGTTAGTAATACAGTTTTAGTGATGCACCAACAGCCTGGTTGTTCAGTTGACAATAAAACTGGTCATGGGTGTAAGTTTATTCAGGTACACATAAATACATTTGCATAAATTATCATTCATACCAGCACATGCAGAAGAACCACTGTGAAAAAAATAATGAAATTCCAAGCACTTCAATGATTTCTCAAGAAAGCACTTGGAATTTCGCTATTGTTTCACAGTGGTTGTTCTGCATATTGTGTTATCACTTGTTTACTGTGATCTTTTTGCATAGTAATATATGTGTAGATTACCTAGGATAACCCAGCAAAGTGACTTATTTCCATTGGGATCCTTGTAATATCACTGTTTAAACCTTAAGACTGCTAAGCAGCTCAACTGTGTGAAAAGCAGTAGCAGTCAAAAGAGATATACTGGGAATAAGGTAAATTGAGTTATTTACATTAACATTAAAAAGAGGTGGGTGGGGATGTTACAGTTCAGAGGTTCATGTGAACTGTGATGTCAGTGTTCTGGCAAAATATTGATTGAATGAATGATGGTGAATTTTTTTCTACACACCCTAACCTGAGCCTCACTATGGTGGTGAATGTGTTTCCTTATTTTGAGGTCACCATACTTCAGTGGAAGATGGCCATTGTGTTTAATAAGGAAAAAAAAAATGTATCCCTTTACCTTTGATATACCTGTAATGAGTTCTGAGAGTTTTTCTACTCCTATAGCCTGGCCTTGTCTGGTGCTTTCCTGGCCAGTCAAGCTGTTGTTGCTGGTGGAGCGATGGAGTGAGCGATGGTAAAAGTGTTTCTTCTTTTTCAGCTCGTGCTACCTCAGTGGGAGATAGCTGGTGTGTTAAAAAATCTATATACGTATAAATGGGACTAAGAGATATTAAAAACAGGTAGGAATATAGTTTTGAAGTGGCTGATATTTTTGTTATATGCCGGCACCTAAGAATTGGCAGATTGTGCATAGTTCCTTTGTATAAAAGAAAAGAGAACAATAGATAGTTTGTAGTTATAGGGGAAAAAATCTGTTTGAGTATACCTAGTAAAGTGTATTGCTGCAGTATCATGTACTATATATAAATTGTATTTTTCAGGGCCAGAATTGTCCATATTTATAAAGAATTAATGTCCATTACCAGCTATTTTCATTTGGCATCAACAGCTCGGAGCCCTGCGAATCTTCACAGCCTCTCAGAATATTAGTTCGTCATAGTGTTCATGGACTCTCCAGATTTAAAAATGAAAAGGTAAAAATTGATATGCATAGTTTACTTGAAAATGTTTATTTAGTTTGTTGAAAGAATAATAATAATAATAGTAATACTGCTTCAAGATAGTTTACTTGAAAATGTTTATTTAGTTGAAAGAATGATAATAGTAACACTGCTTCAAGATAGTTTACTTGAAAATGTTTATTTAGTTGAAAGAATGATAATAGTAACACTGCTTCAAGATAGTTTACTTGAAAATGTTTATTTAGTTTGTTGAAAGAATAATAATAATAATAGTAACACTGCTTCAAGATAAGTCCCATAGCCCTGTCTTCCAACCAGATTTACTACACTTATGATAAGAATTGTTGGGATTTTTAACACAGAGGATTAACCATCCAGGATAGCCCGATAAAGTTAGTGTGCCATCAAAAACTGTCTGTCTTCTTTCTACTGTAGTCTTTCCTTGTCCCACGGGATGCAACCCACACCACTCAACTAATACCCAGGTACCTACTTACTGCTAGGTGAATAGGGACAGCAAGTGTAAAGAAATATGCCCAGTGTTTCTATCCCAGGAATTGAATCACAGACACTCAGTGTGCAATGCAAGAGCGTTGCATACTGAGCCACAGGCCACATATGTATATAACTATATGTAACTCCTGTATATAACTTCTATGGCACCACTAATAATCTTCTATCTTCTTACCAGCTACTATCCAAAGCATACACGATATATCCCAAACTTGAAAACCAAGCATATTTTGGGTGCGAAGTTAACACATTGTCTGAAATCACGCAGCAATGGATTCAACTTTTAACCCGACCCAACACTACTCTCCTTCAAGGTATGTTAGTAATAATGGTAACATTGCTGGTAAAATGTGAATGGACACACATGCAACTAATGTGATGTTTTATTGTGGCAACATTTTGCTCTGTTACTAAATTTAAAAAGAAAAACTTTTGTTTTTCTTTTTGTGTCACTGTTCCTTTTTGGGATAAGATAAGACAGGGGATACAGCCGGTTCATTGAAAAAAAAATTCAGTCTCCAGGAGCTGTATCAAGCAGTTACAACCAACACAAGGACACAGAGAGTATATATAGATACCACATGAGGTGGAATAAACTCATTTTATAATAAAACCTCCATGGGGAATTGGAACAGAATTCTTCCTCCGTAAGCCATGCGTGTCATAAGAGTCAACTAAAATGCCGGGAGCAAGGGGCTAGTAACCCCTTCTCCTGTATACATTACTAAAGTTAAAAAGAGACACTTTTGTTTTTCTTTTTGAGCCACCCTGCCTTGGTGGGATATGACCAGTTTGTTGAAAGAAGAAGATAATAAAATGTCACATTAGTTGCATCTGTGTACTTTTATTTATGGTACGTTACTTGTAAATTATCTGTGTGGTTAGCAGACATAATATTGTCCATTTGCAATATATTCTTATTCCTCACAACCATTAAAATATTGAATGTGTCCACATTATGTTAATGTGCTAGAATCCTCATTACCTATAATCATAATTAAACTTGTAATTCTTAAAACAAACCATATAGCATGCACTAATAGGATATTCAGTTCCCTTGTATTCATTGTAACTCCTTAATTTATTTTTACAACCACCTAAGACATTGTATATACATATAAGCAGTCAGTTCGTCATTGCCTTATTAGTCTTATGAAAGTCTTAAATTTGCCTGAAATATTTTGCATATTAAGGAGCTTTCTGCATGTACACCTAAATGTCACCCATCACTGTACAAACATTGTATCATGCTGAAAAAAATTAATCTTAATCTTAATCTTCAGTGGGATCTTCTTACAATGGACCATGTCCATTACATCAGGCATTTCAAAATAATAAATTTTTATATAAACCAACACCTCCTCCCCCTATTTACTCTGTTATTTCACCGCCCAGATTTGATATATGTATACGTATTTTTGTAACTGATCTGATGTACTCTATATTTTTGTAACTGATCTGATATACTCTATATTTTTGTAACTGATCTGATGTACTCTATATTTTGTAAACTGATCTGATATACTCTATTTTTGTAACTGATCTCATATACTCTAATTTTTGTTAACTGATCTGATGTACTCTATATTTTTGTAACTGATCTGATATACTCTATATTTTTGTAACTGATCTGATATACTCTATATTTTTGTAACTGATCTGATATACTCTATATTTTTGTAACTGATCTGATATACTCTATATTTTTGTAACTGATCTGATGTACTCTATATTTTTGTAACTGATCTGATGTACTCTATATTTTTGTAACTGATCTGATGTACTCTATATTTTTGTAACTGATCTGATATACTCTATATTTTTGTAACTGATCTGATATACTCTATATTTTTGTAACTGATCTGATATACTCTATATTTTTGTAACTGATCTGATTATACTCTATATTTTTGTAACTGATCTGATATACTCTATATTTTTGTAACTGATCTGATATACTCTATATTTTTGTAACTGATCTGATATACTCTATATTTTTGTAACTGATCTCATATACTCTATATTTTTGTAACTGATCTGATATACTCTATATTTTTGTAACTGATCTGATGTACTCTATATTTTTGTAACTGATCTGATATACTCTATATTTTTGTAACTGATCTCATATACTCTATATTTTTGTAACTGATCTCTTTTTTATTATTATTATCACACCGGCCGATTCCCACCAAGGCAGGGTGGCCCGAAAAAGAAAAACTTTCACCATCATTCACTCCATCACTGTCTTGCCAGAAGGGTGCTTTACACTACAGTTTTTAAACTGCAACATTAACACCCCTCCTTCAGAGTGCAGGCACTGTACTTCCCATCTCCAGGACTCAAGTCCGGCCTGCCGGTTTCCCTGAATCCCTTCATAAATGTTACTTTGCTCACACTCCAACAGCACGTCAAGTATTAAAAACCATTTGTCTCCATTCACTCCTATTAAACACGCTCACGCATGCCTGCTGGAAGTCCAAGCCCTTCGCACAAAAAAACCTCCTTTACCCCCTCCCTCCAACCCTTCCTAGGCCGACCCCTACCCCGCCTTCCTTCCACTACAGACTGATACACTCTTGAAGTCATTCTGTTTCGCTCCATTCTCTCTACATGTCCGAACCACCTCAACAACCCTTCCTCAGCCCTCTGGACAACAGTTTTGGTAATCCCGCACCTCCTCCTAACTTCCAAACTACGAATTCTCTGCATTATATTCACACCACACATTGCCTCAGACATGACATCTCCACTGCCTCCAGCCTTCTCCTCGCTGCAACATTCATCACCCACGCTTCACACCCATATAAGAGCGTTGGTAAAACTATACTCTCATACATTCCCCTCTTTGCCTCCAAGGACAAAGTTCTTTGTCTCCACAGACTCCTAAGTGCACCACTCACTCTTTTTCCCTCATCAATTCTATGATTCACCTCATCTTTCATAGACCCATCCGCTGACACGTCCACTCCCAAATATCTGAATACGTTCACCTCCTCCATACTCTCTCCCTCCAATCTGATATTCAATCTTTCATCACCTAATCTTTTTGTTATCCTCATAACCTTACTCTTTCCTGTATTCACCTTTAATTTTCTTCTTTTGCACACCCTACCAAATTCATCCACCAATCTCTGCAACTTCTCTTCAGAATCTCTCATATACTCTATATTTTTGTAACTGATCTGATATACTCTATATTTTTGTAACTGATCTGATGTACTCTATATTTTTGTAACTGATCTGATATACTCTATATTTTTGTAACTGATCTCATATACTCTATATTTTTGTAACTGATCTCATATACTCTATATTTTTGTAACTGATCTCATATACTCTATATTTTTGTAACTGATCTCATATACTCTATATTTTTGTAACTGATCTCATATACTCTATATTTTTGTAACTGATCTGATATACTCTATATTTTTGTAACTGATCTCATATACTCTATATTTTTGTAACTGATCTCATATACTCTATATTTTTGTAACTGATCTCATATACTCTATATTTTTGTAACTGATCTCATATACTCTTATGTTTTCAGTGACTGATCTGATATATGATTTCAGTACGTGTGTGTGAGAGCTCCGGTAAAATTATGATGGCAGAAGAAAAGGATTTACCTATGGTTCTGAAGGAAGGACAACAACCACACATTGGCTTTCAACCTCACCAGCTTCTTGCAACGTTGCATTCTGTGTTTTCTGTAGTTTGCAGGATAGTTACTGGTCACTATATCCTTCAATAAATAACAAAAAGGCACAATACCGTGACTGGAACGATACACAAATAACCCGCACATAAAAGACAGAAGCTTACGACGACGTTTCGGTCCGACTTGGACCATTGACAAAGTCACACAGTGTGACTTTGTCAATGGTCCAAGTCGAACCGAAACGTCGTCGTAAGCTTCTGTCTTTTATGTGCGGGTTATTTGTGTATATCCTTCATCATGACCCTAAGACAGAGGCATTTATCACGCTTCTTAAAGCAACAGATTCAGATAAGTAAGCTCAGTTATTGGAGATGGTGTTTTGCCTGTCAGGAAACATGCATGAATAATAATAATCTTTATTTATGCAAGGACATGATACAACTTATAGGTAGTAGGTTGGTAGACAGCAACCACCCAGGGAGGTACTACCATCCTGCCAGGTGAGTGTAAAATGGAAGCCTGTAATTGTTTTACACAATGGTAGGATTGCTGTTGTCTTTTTTCTGTTGAATGATGATGAAAGTATTTTCTTTTTGGGGATTTTCTTTCTTTTTTGGGTCACCCTGCCTCGGTGGGAGATGGCCGACTTGTAAAAAAAAAAAACACACATGCAAGATTTCAGGTATGTCTTACTACTTCTACTTACACTTAGGTCACACTACACATACATGTACAAGCATATATATACATACATACCCCTCTGGGTTTTCTTCTATTTTTTTTCTTGTTCTTCTTCTTGTTTATTTCCTCTTACCTCCATGGGGAAGTGGAACAGAATTCTTCCTCCGTAAGCCATGCGTGTTGTAAGAGGCGACTAAAATGCCAGGAGCAAGGGGCTAGTAACCCCTTCTCCTGTATGTATTACTAAATGTAAAAGGAGAAACTTTTGTTTTTCCTTTTGGGCCACCCCGCCTCGGTGGGATACGGCCGGTGTGTTGAAAGAGAAAGAATGATGCAACTTATATAGACCATAGCTGACATCAATGGCACACTATATAAAAAGCCTCTGGTTATGCAGAGCATTTCCTGCAACTTAGGTTAATTTTGTCACCAGGATGCCACCCACACCAGTACTACTACTACTACCCTCTACTCCCTCACAGCTTGCCACATGATCAGAGGTTTTTAATAAAAAACTGAAACTACCCTTTCCTTCCTCAGTTCAACAATATTTTAATTTTATTCCCATTATTCAGCATTTCTTTTGCTTAAATTTTAATTTAAAAATTTATTTAACAAATGTCTCCATGGGGAAGTGGACAAGAATTCTTCCTCCATTAGTCATGTGTGTCACAAGAGGTGACTAAAATGCCAAGAGCAAGGTGCCAGTAACCCCTTCTCTTGTTTTTTTTTATTATCACACCGGCCGATTCCCACCAAGGCAGGGTGGCCCGAAAAAGAAAAACTTTCACCATCATTCACTCCATCACTGTCTTGCCAGAAGGGTGCTTTATACTACAGTTTTTAAACTGCAACATTAACACCCCTCCTTCAGAGTGCAGGCACTGTACTTCCCATCTCCAGGACTCAAGTCCGGCCTGCCGGTTTCCCTGAATCCCTTCATAAATGTTACTTTGCTCACACTCCAACAGCACGTCAAGTATTAAAAACCATTTGTCTCCATTCACTCCTATCAAACACGCTCACGCATGCCTGCTGGAAGTCCAAGCCCCTCGCACACAAAACCTCCTTTACCCCCTCCCTCCAACCCTTCCTAGGCCGACCCCTACCCCGCCTTCCTTCCACTACAGACTGATACACTCTTGAAGTCATTCTGTTTCGCTCCATTCTCTCTACATGTCCGAACCACCTCAACAACCCTTCCTCAGCCCTCTGGACAACAGTTTTGGTAATCCCGCACCTCCTCCTAACTTCCAAACTACGAATTCTCTGCATTATATTCACACCACACATTGCCCTCAGACATGACATCTCCACTGCCTCCAGCCTTCTCCTCGCTGCAACATTCATCACCCATGCTTCACACCCATATAAGAGCGTTGGTTAAAACTATACTCTCATACATTCCCCTCTTTGCCTCCAAGGACAAAGTTCTTTGTCTCCACAGACTCCTAAGTGCACCACTCACTCTTTTTCCCTCATCATTCTATGATTCACCTCATCTTTCATAGACCCATCCGCTGACACGTCCACTCCCAAATATCTGAATACGTTCACCTCCTCCATACTCTCTCCCTCCAATCTGATATTCAATCTTTCATCACCTAATCTTTTTGTTATCCTCATAACCTTACTCTTTCCTGTATTCACCTTTAATTTTCTTCTTTTGCACACCCTACCAAATTCATCCACCAATCTCTGCAACTTCTCTTCAGAATCTCCCAAGAGCACAGTGTCATCAGCAAAGAGCAGCTGTGACAACTCCCATTTGTGTGTGATTCTTATCTTTTAACTCCACGCCTCTTGCCAAGACCCTCGCATTTACTTCTCTTACAACCCCATCTATAAATATATTAAACAACCACGGTGACATCACACATCCTTGTCTAAGGCCTACTTTTACTGGGAAAAAATTTCCTCTTTCCTACATACTCTAACTTGAGCCTCACTATCCTCGTAAAAACTCTTCACTGCTTTCAGTAACCTACCTCCTACACCATACACCTGCAACATCTGCCACATTGCCCCCCTATCCACCCTGTCATACGCCTTTTCCAAATCCATAAATGCCACAAAGACCTCTTTAGCCTTATCTAAATACTGTTCACTTATATGTTTCACTGTAAACACCTGGTCCACACACCCCCTACCTTTCCTAAAGCCTCCTTGTTCATCTGCTATCCTATTCTCCGTCTTACTCTTAATTCTTTCAATTATAACTCTACCATACACTTTACCAGGTACACTCAACAGACTTATCCCCCTATAATTTTTGCACTCTCTTTTATCCCCTTTGCCTTTATACAACGGAACTATGCATGCTCTCTGCCAATCCCTAGGTACCTTACCCTCTTCCATACATTTATTAAATAATTGCACCAACCACTCCAAAACTATATCCCCACCTGCTTTTAACATTTCTATCTTTATCCCATCAATCCCGGCTGCCTTACCCCCTTTCATTTTACCTACTGCCTCACGAACTTCCCCCACACTCACAACTGGCTCTTCCTCACTCCTACAAGATGTTATTCCTCCTTGCCCTATACACGAAATCACAGCTTCCCTATCTTCATCAACATTTAACAATTCCTCAAAATATTCCTTCCATCTTCCCAATACCTCTAACTCTCCATTTAATAACTCTCCTCTCCTATTTTTAACTGACAAATCCATTTGTTCTCTAGGCTTTCTTAACTTGTTAATCTCACTCCAAAACTTTTTCTTATTTTCAACAAAATTTGTTGATAACATCTCACCCACTCTCTCATTTGCTCTCTTTTTACATTGCTTCACCACTCTCTTAACTTCTCTCTTTTTCTCCATATACTCTTCCCCCTTGCATCACTTCTACTTTGTAAAAACTTCTCATATGCTAACTTTTTCTCCCTTACTACTCTCTTTACATCATCATTCCACCAATCGCTCCTCTTCCCTCCTGCACCCACTTTCCTGTAACCACAAACTTCTGCTGAACACTCTAACACTACATTTTAAACCTACCCATACCTCTTCGACCCTATTGCCTATGCTCTCATTAGCCCATCTATCCTCCAATAGCTGTTTATATCTTACCCTAACTGCCTCCTCTTTTAGTTTATAAACCTTCACCTCTCTCTTCCCTGATGCTTCTATTCTCCTTGTATCCCATCTACCTTTTACTCTCAGTGTAGCTACAACTAGAAAGTGATCTGATATATCTGTGGCCCCTCTATAAACATGTACATCCTGAAGTCTACTCAACAGTCTTTTATCTACCAATACATAATCCAACAAACTACTGTCATTTCGCCCTACATCATATCGTGTATACTTATTTATCCTCTTTTTCTTAAAATATGTATTACCTATAACTAAACCCCTTTCTATACAAAGTTCAATCAAAGGGCTCCCATTATCATTTACACCTGGCACCCCAAACTTACCTACCACACCCTCTCTAAAAGTTTCTCCTACTTTAGCATTCAAGTCCCCTACCACAATTACTCTCTCACTTGGTTCAAGGCTCCTATACATTCACTTAACATCTCCCAAAATCTCTCTCTCTCCTCTGCATTCCTTTCTTCTCCAGGTGCATACACGCTTATTATGACCCACTTCTCGCATCCAACCTTTACTTTAATCCACATAATTCTTGAATTTACACATTCATATTCTCTTTTCTCCTTCCATAACTGATCATTTAACATTACTGCTACCCCTTCCTTTGCTCTAACTCTCTCAGATACTCCAGATTTAATCCCATTATTTCCCCCCACTGAAACTCTCCTACCCCCTTCAGCTTTGTTTCGCTTAGGACCAGACATCCAACTTCTTTTCATTCATAACATCAGCATCATCTGTTTCTTGTCATCCGCACTACATCCACGCACATTTAAGCAACCCAGTTTTATAAAGTTTTTCTTCTTCTCTTTTTAGTAATTGTATACAGGAGAAGGGGTTACTAGCCCATTGCTCCCGGCATTTTAGTCGCCTCATACGACACGCATGGCTTACGGAGGAAAGATTCTTTTCACTTCCCCATGGACAATAGAAGAAATAAAAAAGAACAAGAGCTATTTAGAAAAAGGAGAAAAACCTAGATGTATGTATATATATATATGCATGTGCGTGTCTGTGAAGTGTGACCAAAGTGTAAGTAGGAGTAGCAAGATATCCCTGTTATCTTAGGGTGTTTATGAGACAGAAAAAGAAACCAGCAATCCTACCATCATGCAAAACAGTTACAGGTTTTTGTTTCACAGTCATCTGGCAGGACGGTAGTACTTCCCTGGGTGGTTGCTGTCTACCAACCTACTACCTGACTACCTTCTCTTGTATGGTGTAGAAACCTTTGATATATCTTTGATGAATTTCAAGAGTCTCTCTACTCTCGAAGCCCAGCCATGGGCCAGGCTCATTTCTCCTTTTTTGGGTCACCCTGCCTCGGTGGGAGATGGCCAGTGTGCTAAAACAAAAATTTAACAAATTATCACATATTCAATTTTCTTGCAGGGAGGTGCACCTGCAGAAATTCAATCTGCATGCAGTGTACTCAACAGGATCTGTCAACACCAAGAACTACACTGTGCCTCCCTGGCTGGCCCTCGACACCCATGTCCTCACACCGTTCCATCTCAAGCACTGCAAGATCCCGGCCACCTTTCCCATGGATAACCGTAAGTGCTCAGACTTTTCCTTCAGTGTTCATATACATTTTCTCTATGTATAAGTTGTTAGACAAATATTGTAAAGCTAATTATCTCATTGACACTGTAACAAGTGCCAGTCTAGTGCCTAATGAAGCTGAGTTGTACATGCTCTCTCATGTATGTTAACAATGTATAATAACAACAATAATAATAATATATTATAGGTAGTAGGTTGGTAGACAGCAACCGCCCAGGGAGGTACTACTGTCCTGTCAAGTGAGTGTAAAACGAAAGCCTGTAATTGTTTTACATGATGGTAGGATTGCTGGTGTCCATTTTTTGTCTCATAAACATGCAAGGTTTCAGGTACGTCTTGCTACTTCTACTTACACTTAGGTCACACTACACATACATGTACAAGCATATATATATACACACCCCTCTGGGTTTTCTTTTATTTTCTTACTAGTTCTTGTTCTTGTTTATTTCCTCTTATCTCCATGGGGAAGTGGAACAGAATTCTTCCTCCGTAAGCTATGCATGTTGTAAGAGACGACTAAAATGCCAGGAACAAGGGGCTAGTAACCCCTTCTCTTGTATAAATTACTAAATTTAAGAAGAGAAACTTTTGTTTTTCTTTTTGGGCCACCCTGCCTTGGTGGGATATGGCCGGTTTGTTGAAAAAAAATAATAATAATAATAATATTAGTAGTAGTATTAACCCTTTCACTGTCAGTACCCTTGCTCAAAAACTTGCTCTCATTGTCAAAGAATTTTCAGAAAAAAGTGATTTTTTATTATGAAATGATAGAGAATGTTTTCCTGATGGTAATGACACCAAAAGTGCGAAATTTGATGGAAAACTTGCAGAATTACGCTCTTGCGAAGTTAGCGGTCTCGACTATGTTTACGCATCGGTGATTTTGCCCACTGAGCCCTATTTTCGGTCAATTCCATTGTTCCAGTCAACCAAACTCATAGCTATTTCACTAGAACTCCTTTTGTTCTATCGACTGAGTACAGGAAACCACCCATTTACTGATTTTAACTACCCAATAAAGTAATCAGAAATTGATAATTTGGCCAATTTCATACACAATTCAAGGAAGGCCAATTTCAAAACAGGGTCCAGAATGAACAATGCAGACATTCCTGGCTCTAAAATAACATTTTCTTTGTTCATCAGTCATGTCTCCAGACCCCTCTTATATTACACTTGCTTTCCATTTTGAATTTTTATTCACACACAAAAATATGCAGACTACTGCATTATTGTAAAATTGGTATAAATAATATCAGCGCATTTATGAAAGCATATTAGACCCACCAGTTGACGTATATTGGACGTGTGACATGATTTGTTTACTCTTGAACATCGGCAAAAATCAAACATTTCCACTAAATTGAGCTCAATTTCAAGGTACTTTTAGTCCATATCCATTCAAAATCATCTCTAGTTCTCTAATATATCTTCCATTCTATCAAATGAGACCAAGGAAATGAGAATACATCCATAAATACCATACAAAAATACACCGCAAAATCACTGTTTTAAACAAAAAACATGGTCTGAGTTTTTTTCTCATTATGCACTGTGTGCTGCAGAATTTTTTTTATACTGCGCACACTGACCACTCAGACCCATTCTCTCATATGTAGGCCTACCAGCTTTCTCCCGCAAGACTGGAAGCCTCTAGAATTTTGACGTACTATTACAGGACCAACACTGGTTTGCAAGCCGTAATATTATGGGACCAACAGTGAAAATGGTTAATAACTATAAGCTAAGGATGAAAATCTTTTAAGGTAAGTAATGTGTGTGTACAATATATGCATTTTTTAGGCCTAGCTCTATTGCTTACTTAATATATGTTAGTGTAAACATGTTACCAGGCTTTTAATACATTTAAAAGTGAAAAAAGTTATGATTCACTTTACAGAGATTTTCACTTTACAGCAGTAGCCAGAACTTAATCTGCTGTATAAGTAAGGCCCTCCTTTACAGCAGTAACCCAGAACTTAATCTACTGTATAAGTAAGGCCCTCCTTTACAGCAGTAACACAGAACTTAATCTACTGTATAAGTAAGGCCCTCCTTTACAGCAGTAACCCAGAACTTAATCTACTGTATAAGTAAGGCCCTCCTTTACAGCAGTAACCCAGAACTTAATCTACTGTATAAGTAAGGCCCTCCTTTACAGCAGTAACCCAGAACTTAATCTACTGTATAAGTAAGTCCCTCCTTTACAGCAGTAACCCAGAACTTAATCTACTGTATAAGTAAGGCCCTCCTTTACAGCAGTAACCTGGAACCTAACCTGCTGTATAACTGGGGCCAGCCTGTATAATAATAACAACTACCTTCTACTCCATGCGTGAGCGTGTTAGATAGGAGTGAATGGAGACGAATGGTACTTGGGACCTGACGATCTGTTGGAGTGTGAGCAGGGTAATATTTAGTGAAGGGATTCAGGGAAACCGGTTATTTTCATATAGTCGGACTTGAGTCCTGGAAATGGGAAGTGCCTGCACTTTAAAGGAGGGGTTTGGGATATTGGCAGTTTGGAGGGATATGTTGTGGATCTTTATATGTGTATGCTTCTAAACTGTTATATTCTGAGCACCTCTGCAAAAACAGTGATAATGTGTGAGTGTGGTGAAAGTGTTGAATGATGAAAGTATTTTCTTTTTGGGGATTTTCTTTCTTTTTTGGGTCACCCTGCCTCGGTGGGAGACGACCGACTTGTTGAAAAAAAAAAAAAAAAAAAAACCTTCTACTCCATGGGAAAGCGAAGAAGAAGCCTTCTTTCGTAAGCCATGCATGTTGTAAGAGGTGACTAAATTGCCGGGAGCAGGGGTCTAGTAACCTCCTTCTGTATTAAAAAAAAACTCCCTTTTAGCTATATTAAAGTTATCACAGGTTATGAAAAATGGTTACCTCAAAAAAAAAATTATTTGTTTGAGCATCAAACTCATACAAAAATCGAGAATTAATTAACAGCCATACTGTTGCAGTAGGAAAATTCTTAATTTATTATAACAAATTTGAATGCTATTTGGTTGATTTATACAAGTTAATGGAATGAAACTCTCCCTTAGACTTACTGGTGAAACACATTTTTTAATTTGCTCAATATAAAATAATTTTTCAACGTCAAGAACAACATGGAATTACAGTTCCGTACATCCGAAATAATCTATTACGTGATGTGTCATGCAAAACCATATAATGTTCTTTATTTTGTCTTTCATATTCTGTATATTAAATAATAACGATAATTGTCTTTTCAACAGCCACGAAGGTCCTCACAAAAGGAGAAAAGCGGAAAATAAAGGAGAAAGCAAGAGTGAAGAGAAAATTAGAAGACCTTGACAAACCAAAAGAGGAAGATGAGACAGAAGACTATATGGAAGCTATTAAAAATACTGGAACAGTAAGGAGGAGAAGAAGAGAGATGCTGTGAAGAATGTGGTCATGAAAAGACATAGAAGAATATGTAGAAGAGATGTCTTCTGAAGAGTGTGTGGTGTCTCTCTCTATCATCTCATAACTGACACTGACCTGTTTCAACAACTTCAGCCTCTATCCTTATTGTCAATGTTTATTTATTAGCCACTCCAGCCCTTCCCTCTTCCCATCTATATTTTTTTCTTTGCCATGCAAGACTATGTCTCTAACAGGTTACGTGCTTTCCATGAATATAGAAGAGCGTGGCTATAAACGTTGAAACAATGAGAAGATGTACATCTTCTGTTTACTGACAGTACAACAATGTTACAGTGCAGTGCAGCATTTGAATTACAGTGGAACCTTGGTTTTCGTATGCCCTAGTCTGTATGTAAAACTATAGTTTTTAAGAACATAAGAAAGGAGGAACACTGCAGCAGACCTGTTGGCCCATACTAGGCAGGTCCTTTACAATTCATCCCACTAACAAAACATTTGCCCAACCCAATTTTCAATGCTACCCAAGAAATAAGCTCTGATGTGCAAGTCCCACTCAAATCCAACCCCTCCCACTCATGTACTTATCCAACCTAAATTTGAAACTACCCAAAGTCCTAGCCTCAATCACCCAACTAGGTAGACTGTTCCATTCTGTAATATGGAGACCAGAATTGAGCTGCATAATCTAGGTGAGGCCTTACTAATGATGTATAAAGCTGCAGTATAACCTCTGGACTTCTGTTGCTTACACTTCTTGATATAAATCCCAGTAATCTATTTGCCTTATTACGTACGCTTAGGCATTGCTGTCTTGGTTTAAGGTTGCTGCTCACCATAACCCCCAAGTCCTTTTTGCAATCTGTATGGCTAAGTTCTACATTATTTAACTTATAAGTGCTAGTGTTATGGACACTCCCGAGCTTCAGAACCTTGCATTTATCTACATTGAACTGCATCTGCCACTTTTCTGACCAAGAATAGAGTTTGTTTAAATCCTCCTGAAGTTCCCTAACATCTACGTTTGAATCAATTTTCCTACCTATCTTTGTGTCATCGGCGAATTTGCTCATATCACTAGTAACATCCTCATCAAGATCATTGATATATATTATAAACAACAACGGGCCCAAGACTGATCCCTGTGGAACGCCACTTGTTACTGATCCCCACTCGGATTTAACCCCATTTATGGACCCTCTCTGCTTCCTGTCTGTGAGCCATGACTCGATCCACGAGAGCACTTTTACCCCAATGCCATGAGCTGCCACTTTCTTTAACAGTCTTTGGTGCGGAACTCTATCAAAAGCCTTACTAAAATCTAAGTAAATAATATCAAATTCTTTATCGTGGTCAACAGCCTCAAAAGCTTTACTGAAGAAAGTTAATAAATTAGTTAGACAAGACCGGCCTCTTGTGAATCCATGCTGAGTATCATTAATCAAGCTATGCTTATCGAGATGGCTTCTTATAATCTCAGCTATAATTGACTCTAGTAATTTGCCTACAATTGAGGTCAGGCTTATTGGGCGGTAATTAGATGGTAACGACTTGTCCCCTGTTTTAAAAATAGGAATTACATTAGCCATCTTCCACATATCAGACACTACACCTGTTTGAAGAGATAAATTAAAAATATTAGTTAATGGTTCACAGAGCCCTTGAAAAAACCTCATCAGGACCCGGTGACTTATTTTGCTTCAGTCTGTCTATCTGCTTCACAACCATTTCACTAGTGACTGTGATGTTACATAATTTATCTTCTTCTGGCCCACTATAAAAATTAATTACTGGAATATTATTAGTGTCTTCCTGTGTAAAAACCGAGAGAAAATAATTATTTAAAATCGAGCACATTTCATTCTCTTTGTTAGTAAGATGCCCATAGTTATTTTTAAGGGGACCTATCTTATCTCTAACTGTAATAATTATATCTAACTTTTTGGGTTAGTTTTAGAATCCCTAGCAACTTTAATTTCATAGTCCCTTTTAGCTCTTCTTATCCCCTTTTTAATGTCCCTCTTAATGTCAATATACTGATTCATAAGATGACCCTCACCTCTTTTGATATGCCTATAAATTCCTTTCTTATGTCCTAATAGATATTTCAGCCTATTATTCATCCATTTTGTGTCATTCCTATTTGATCTAATTTCTTTATATGGGATAAATGTTCTTTGAGCAGCATGTATAGTGTTCAGAAAACTGTCATATTGATAGCTCCTTCTTTACCCCAGTCAACAGATGATAAGTGTTCTCTAAGCCCATCGTATCGCTAAGCGAAAATCTGGGACTGTTACTGAGTTACCCCTACTATCATACTTCCTTTAAATGCTAAATTGTAATTGATTTGTGGTCGCTAGCACCCAGTTCCTCTGAAACTTCAAAATTTATTAACAAGGGATTCATTATTTGCCAAAAACTAAGTCAAGCAGGTTATTACCCCTTGTAGGTTCTGTCACAAAACGGCTTCAAAAAACAATCCTGAACTACTTCTAAGAAGTCGTATGATTCTAAATTCCCAGTCAAAAAATTTTCCAATCAATATGACTAAAGTTAAAGTCTCCTAGAATTACTACATTATCGTCCCTTTGTGGCCCTAACAATTTCCTCCCATAGTAGTCTCCCCTGGTCCCTATCTAAGTTTTCATGCCCCTCTGAAAATTCTATCCAAACAGACTCTGTATGTGTTACTTCAGACTTAATACCCGTTTTTATGCAACAGTTCAAGCGATCTCGGACATACAATGCCACCCCACCCACCTTCCCGACACTTCTATCTACCTGGAACAATTTAAAACCCTGAATGTGACATTCCGCAGTCATGTCCCGACTTTTTTAATTAAACCACGTCTCAGTTAAGGCAAATACATCAATGTTACCTGCACTAGCAACTAGTCTCAACTCGTCCATCTTATTCCTAGCACTGCGGCTATTTGTGTAATATATATTTAAAGACCCTCCTCTGTCTTTACCCTTCCTGCTTCTTTCTGTTATTCCACTAAACCTATTACTGTCCTTGTCAAAATGTATTTTTAGTTAACATTAAATGTATTTTTAGTTAACATTTTAGTTAAAATGTATTTTTAGTTAACATTTCACGTAAGAAATAATGTAAATCCAATTAATCCATTCCAGACACCCAAAAATATTAAGAAAAAATACATTTTATAGAGAATAACAATAGTTTTGTGGGCGAGGGGCTTGGACTTCCAGGAAGCGTGCATGAGCGTGTTAGATAGGAGTGAATGGAGACGAATGGTACTTGGGACCTGACGATCTGTTGGAGTGTGAGCAGGGTAATATTTAGTGAAGGGATTCAGGGAAACCGGTTATTTTCATATAGTCGGACTTGAGTCCTGGAAATGGGAAGTACAATGCCTGCACTTTAAAGGAGGGGTTTGGGATATTGGCAGTTTGGAGGGATATGTTGTGTATCTCTATACGTATATGCTTCTAAACTGTTGTATTCTGAGCACCTCTGCAAAAGCAGTGATAATGTGTGAGTGTGGTGAAAGTGTTGAATGATGATGAAAGTATTTTCTTTTTGGGGATTTTCTTTCTTTTTTGGGTCACCCTGCCTCGGTGGGAGACGACCGACTTGTTGAAAAAAAAAAAAACAATAGTTTTACGTATAGACTAGGTCATGGGAAAGCAGAGGTTCCACTGTATATGGACTTGAGTCCTGGAGGTGGGAAGTACAGTTCCTGCACTCTGAAGGAGGGGTTTTGAACTGTAGTGTGGGCACTCCTGTGGCAAAACAGTGATGGAGTGAGTGATGATGAAAGTGTTTCTTCTTTTTCAGGTTACCCTGCCTTAGTGGGAAATGACCGATGTGTTAATAAATAAAAAAATGTATTTTACAACTAACCCACAAATTGGAAAGGAAACTTTAGACATTGTTTTGGTCGTCCCAGATCATTATATTCACCCAAGGTCCAAGTAAGAATAACAATAATTATAATACAAATTAGTGTGATCAGTCATGAGTTAAGAGGGATGATGGCCAGGAGCTATGACTCAACACCCACAAACTGAGACATACTCTTAAAAATTCCTCTTTAAATTGTAAATTGCTGCAGCCAGTAATGTGACTTTATTCTTTACACGTATCGTCAAGTCTTCTCTTACAAAACAGTTTAGTGCAGGTAACTTCTAGAACAGTTTATTTTTCCTGCTCACTGATCTCAACACACTTGAATTTAAACAAATTTTTATAGAAAAAATTTCCTTATGTAGTTACTTTTATAAATTTCCCATTTTAGTGATTTAGTGATAATTATTATAATCATGGGGGGGGGCCACTAAACTCGTAGGATTATACTGTGCCTGTGGGGGGGGGGGAATGGAAGGTATTCGGGCTCAATTCAGGGAACCGGAACACAGATCCAATTCCCTAGATCAAGAGCCCCTCACCAGCATCATGGAACCTCCCTTGAAGGGAGTAATTTAGTGATGTTATTAATTATTGGCTGTTTACATATTGTATTATTAATAATTGACTGTTAATATACTGTATTATTAATAATTGGCTGTTAATATACTGTATATATGTTTATTATAATCATAACTAAGCACTAAACCTATAAGGGTCATACAGTGCTGTTATATTCTTGCTTTTGTATCCCTTCAAGGGATGTACCTTGATGCTGTAGGGCTCTTGATCAAAGAGCTACCTACCCTCTCATTCCTTGGATCAAAACTATTTCTAATGCTGTGTTTGACTATGGGCTTATTGCTTCCCCATTATTATAATCCCATCTTACTACCAGGCCTCATTAGGGAGTAATGGGTGCCTTGATGCTGGTAATGGGATCTAGATCCAAGGAACTCAGTCATATCTCCATTTCCTAGGATCAAACATAATGCCCATTCTCGAGGAGCTGTATGTCCCTTGTGGGTTTAGTGCTTTCCCATGAACATTCTGTAATAATTTTAGTCATTTTAACACAATAATAATTTGGATAAATTAAAAGTTGTAATAGGATATCCTTTTATTTTATCCCCATCAGGGTATTGTATTATAAAGAATATAAAATCTTACATCTTTGGATGTGATTAAATTCACAAATATAACAGTAAACACGAAATAAATATATATATCACAATAAATTTGGTACGCTTTAGAAGAGCACGTAAGACAAGGACTGAACTTGAGGCCCTGAATCCCCATGTATGTTAGACCAGAGGTTCCCAAACTGGGGTACCATGACCTCCCCCAGGGGCATGAGAAGAAATTTTTGGGGTACGCAGGTGAGATTTATAATTTTGATGTTATTGTTGATTTTTTTTTTTAACTTCGTATTCAGTATTTATCAATATTGAATCAAAATTAATTTAATTTTCACAGGATATACACACTGCAAGGTGTATTTATCTCAGTGTATATATGCTGAGACTTTAAATCCCTATTTAAGTATTTTTGTCTTGTGGTAGAAAGGTTACCATGAAGTCTTAATGACCCTTGTGTAGTCAATAAGCTTTAAACCCTATTAACAAACCATTTAATTCTATCTGTATATCTTTAACTATTATTTGTATTAAGTTATTTTTGACATCTGTACAAAGGGATAAAGGTTTAGTGTAAAATGCCAAGGAGTAAATGACTAAGTTTGGGAACCATTGCTACAGACTCTTCAAGGGTGGAACAGTGCCTTGATACTGAAGGGCTTTTGACCCAAGGAATTGGAACTAGCCTCCCT